TCCTACAGAATCCCTCCTTTACTGACCACTGTTCATCCATATGTCATCTCTTTCCTCCTGCCTTGATAAAACTGGATACTTAAGACAACCTCCTTGTTTCAAGACTGTGACAGTTTCTGAAAATGGCCTCCATAGGCTCATAAGGAGTGGCTTTGTTTAAAGGATTAGGACAGATGGCCTTGTTGGAGTAGGTGTGGCCTTCTTAGAAGAAATGTGTCACTTCGGATTGGGCTTTGAGGTCTCAGAAGCCTCCAAGCAGGACCAGTGGCTTCCTCTCTCTCTCTTTCTGCTGCCTGCTGATCTGGATGTAGAACTCCTAGCTACCTCTCCATGTCTGCCTGTATGCTGCTGTGCTTCCTGCCATGGCAATAATGGACTAAACCTCTGAACTATTAGCCAGCCCCAATTAAATGTCATGGTGTCTCTTCACGGCAATAGAACCCCTAACTAAGACAGTGACCTTGTGTTTAATCACTTCTGCAAAGTCCCATAACATGTAGCCCCACATAAGTCCAGGTTCCAAGAATTAGGATGTGGGCATCTGGGAACTGTTATTCTGCCTCTTGTGGTGCGCTGTTAAACTATAAGCCCTCCCCTAATGACGTTGAATTGTGTCTCACATCCGTGACCCAAAGACCTGTGAGGACAGAGACCACATCTTCTTTACCTTCTGTTGTATCTGATGCCCAGAGTTCAGACACTGGATGCTAAATACAGTTATCTGGTAGGTTCATGGAAGAGAGGCAGTCCCAGAGGCCTGGCCATGATACAAAAACTGCATAGTGTCTAAAATTTGCTGTGACATTCCTTCAGAGTGTCAGGGCAGCACTGGGGGAGAATGATCTGGAACAAACTGGCTGGACACTGGGACTGTCAGGCAGAATGACCACCATCAATTTTCACCTCTTCAAAGCAAAAGAGTGACTCTGGAGTTAGCATGTTGGGGCAGCAGTATCCCTGTTGACTGGATCATTGTGTTGAAAATGGCACAGCAGGCTGGATTTGTTTGATTACAGTCTAAACTGGATGGGTGTGACTGTTGCGTGTGTCTTCAGAAATCTCTAAGTCAGCAGTTTCTAACCTGTGGGTCATCACAACCCCTTTGGAGACTGAACGACCTTTTCACAGGGGTCACCTAAGACCCTCAGAAAACACAGATATTTACAATGGTAGCAAAATTACAGTTATGAAGTAGCAACGAAAATAATTTTATGATTGGAGGACATCACATGAGGGACTGTATTAAAGGGTCACAACATTGGCGAGGTTGGGAATCCCTGCTCTAGGTCCTTTCGTTGTTTCTGTTTACAGAAGGCCCAGTCCAGTAGCAGTTTGCAACTGAATAAGATCAAACAACAACAAAGGATTGACCATTAACAAAATGACTTGGTTGGGGCAGTGGCCCTCACTGATGTTACAGGCATTTCCTTTGTCTCTGTGAGGTGCTGGGTGCAGGGCACAGAGGAAAGAGGATGGAGACCGGTACAAACCACACTCTAGGACCCATCTTCCACTGGGGAAGAGCCATGGGAGCAAAGGCAGCAATGTCTCCATGATTCTGTGACTGATAAAACTGGGGAAATGCTTGCAGTTGCACATTTGCTAGATGGGGGGGGCATAGGTAAACATCCCAAGAGCACCTTTAAGGGGGACCCACAGCATGATGGGGTGAGGAGAGCATTTCAGGGGGCCTCAACCTCATTACAGAAGCAGCGGGTTCTAACTGACAGTCCTATGGATCACTCTCCAGCTGACTCTGAGGTGGGCGGCCATAGCTGGAGAGGGGAAGGGGGGCAGAGGTGGAATCCACTCTGTCCCTGCTTAATGATGAATTCCAGGAAGGACCCCTCAAGGTGTTAAATCCTCCAGCAGCAATTATTGCTCACTCTGCAAGCCTCTGCTGAGTGCTTATTGATGAGCAGTCTTTCCCAATCGGAGAACTCTCCCGCGCTTCCTCACCCTATCATTAGAAGTGAAGGCAGGTGGGTCTTCTCTCGTCTGCTGTCTCTCAGAGCCGGGTGTGTGCTCTCGCTTGGCCCCAGAGTGAGTGCTTTCCACCGGATGTGTGTCTTCCTCCTGGGTTTGCTTGTGAGAAAGTATAACTGGAGCCGGCCGGGAGGCACAAACAAAGGGCAGGGCGCAGCCGCACTGACCTTCTTCTTGAGCCAACTGGGACCGCCAGGGTCCCCTGCAGCTGGCCTGCGTTAGCTGTTTCCTCCAACCCACTATGGGCAGAGCAGTCACTGCTGAAGCAATTATGCCCATGGCAAGGAAGAAAAAGGAAGAGAGTCCCTTTGTAAAAGCCATTGTTCCTCTCAGCGTGACACTGTTCCACTGTCGATGGCACCTTTCAAACAACTGCTCTAATTTCCCTTTGGAACAGTGAACCGAAACCCCAGGTTACCTGGGATGTTGTGGTTACATTTTGGTGGTTCTAAATATTTGTATTTTGTCGGAAATGAAGTAAGATATTGAAAGAAAGGCTTCAAGATAGCTGTGGGAAAAAACACAAACAAAACCAAAACAAAAAACCAGCCATTCTTTCCAGACACCCTCTTCATGAGGCTGCTCCTGTGGATAGCTGGTACATTTTGCATACACCTCATTAAACCACCCCCCTCCCCCAGGAAGAAGCCTGCAGCAGCCTGCAGCCCGCCTTCTTTGCACACAGTAGGCGGTGTTCCTGCTGCTTAAAAGGAGCTTGGAGAGCCCAGCTGTGCTGCATCTGGGCTGTGAAGCTGCAACCTCGCAGGTAGCTCAGGATGCATCCAGAACAACTTCTCTGCATTGCAGACCACTCTTGGCCTTCTCATGGCCAGAGGCAGGCCCCTGGCTAGCAGGCAGAGCCCTCTTCAGCATCCACCAAGCCCTATTGCAGGCCAGACTGCTTGGACCTGAGATCCTCTGATGAACACAGAGGAAAAGGCTGCTCCCCTTCACATGGGGTGTACCATCCAGGAAGCACTGAGCTTTTTTTCCCCCCTTCAGTAATGTGTGACTTAAACTCCAGGCAGAAAAGTCATCTTAGCTGTCTGCCCTCTCAGCATCTGGGCAGCTGTTCCCCAGCCCTGTCTCAGCCCTGTGGATTAGCTCACCCTGTCCCAACCGCCCTTCCTTGCCAATTCCTACCGGAAAGATAGCGAGGCTAAATCCATAGCTGTCCACCAACCCCCCCAGAGGCTAGAGCAGCTGTGAGACCTGGTTCTGACCAGTGACACAGAAGCAAACATCTACAGGGAAATTTTTAAAGCGCTTGTGTTCTGAATAAGGACAGCCATTCTAGTCCTTGCTCCTTTAGGTTGCATCGACCTAAGGTCATGATAGTAGCTGCAGCAGCGATCTTGTGATCTTGAGGAAAAGCCAAGATCCAGCATTGTCACCCAGATACATGCTTTCTTTTAGGCCTTCTGTCCTGAGAGAAACAAACTGCCCTCCATTTGTTTCAGCCTCCAAGGTTAGCCCTCTGTGACTTGGAGTCAAATGCACCTCTAGCTCTATAGTAAGCTGTCAATCAACAGGAAGAAAAGTCCTGGGTGCTGAATATAAACAGGCGAGCTGGGGCCTATTCTGATTAGAGGAAACTGCAATAGCTTTAATCTGGAAACGTTAAAGGAAAGTGTCCTAGGGATCTTACAAAGAACCCAGTGATGTCAAGTTCACTGTTGCTAAGCTTTAAAAATGTGGCAGGTAGGCAATGCTTGGATCAAGCTGGGGAATGTGGACAGTTACACACAGGCCTCAGGCCCTGTTGACTAAGAACCCTCTCTGTTCCCCAAGAACTGCATTCATTAAGTGTGGCCAAGGCCACCATGGCAGGAGGAGCAAGAAAGGAGTGGATGCCTGCCTCTTGTGGCCAGGCCCCTGTCAGTTACTATTACTGCAGAGTAGACTGCCCCCAAGTGTAACAGCATGCCAAGAATGTATTCATTTATTATCATGGCTTATGGCCCCGCAGTGTCTATGGGTCAGGTGTCTAGATACAGTTTGGTCACATCTTCTGGCTCAGAGTGATAGTTCAGGTTTCTGTTGCTGTAATGAAACACCATGGAAAAAGCAGCTTGGGGAGGGAAGGGTTTATTTGGCTACACTTTCCATACTGCTCTTCATCACTGAAGGAAGTCAAAACAGGCACTCAAACAGGGCAGGAACCTGGAGGCAGGAACTGATGAAAAGGCCATGGGGAGCGGGGGCGGGGTGAAGGGGTGCTGCTTACAGGTTTGTTCCTCATGGCTTGCTCAGCCTGCTTTCTTATAGAACCCAGGACCACCAGCCCAGGGGTGACATCACTCACAATGGCCTGGGCCCTCTCACATCAATCACTGGGCCTTTCAGAGTCCTTAGGTCCCAGATAAGGTACAACGGGTCAGAAATCATGATGACATGTTTGTCTAAAGAGATACTCTGTTTACTCCTCGCAAATATTTTAGGGAAAATCTTATGTGTAGGGGTGTGTATGTGTGCAGGGGAGAAGAATGGATGTTCAAACATGTGACAAAATGCTAACGTTTGGGAAATATAGTTAAAGAATATATCATAATTGTTTACACCAAAGTCTTTTTGCAACTATTTTATCAGTCTAAAATTATTCCAAAATACAAAAGTTTTCAAAAGTACCACCCTGGAATGTATCACAGATGACATTGTGAAAGTCATTCAGATCTCCTTTGGACCCCAAGGTGATGCAAGATAGCCTAGAAAGGAAGTCAGAAAGAGCAAATACAGAGTTTGGGCTGCCTAGACCTGCCCCAGCAGCTCCTAGGGACTCTGAGCTACCCAGCACTCTGATAGAGGAGTTTGGGGAAAGGTTTATGTCACAATATGGTTTGTAACACTGGACTCAGTACCCAGACTATGGTGAGCACTCCATAAATGTTACTGTTATTGCCTCCCTCTATATCTTTCAGTGACGATGATAGGTCGTGGCTGTGAGTGATTTAGATGCTGATCTAGTCCATTGTCTCCATGCTAACTTCCTGACATGAGTTTTTGTCCCTATAAAGGCAGGGTGGCCACTGCAGTGGGTGTGGATGTGTGTGACAGCATGAAGAACCGGATCCCTGTGGTGCTTCTGGCCTGTGGTTCCTTCAACCCCATCACGAATATGCACTTGCGATTGTTTGAGGTGGCCAGAGACCACCTACACCAAACAGGTTAGTCAGAGACCCAAGTGTTGCAGACCTGACGGATTGGGGCTTTGTTTGATGGTGTCATTGTCGCTTTGAGTTAGACTGCTTGTTGGTTCATTCTCTACTTAAGTTGTAGGATACATCTCCTCCAACCTGGGCAGAGGGCTCACATCCTTTAACTGTGTGGTATGTGCAAGTACAGCCCCAGCCGTAGAGTTGATACATCTCAGAGTCCCCGCTCCTGGCCCACCTAACATTGCCCATGAATACTATGAAAACACAGGGAAGGGCAGTTTAGGGAGACTGTACCCCACCCAGAGCCTCTTGGCTGCTCCACACACTTACCCACACAGCCGAGAATAGGTTACATGTGCCTGTGAGAGGTCCTGCTACCTGCAGCAAGTAAACCAGTGTTCAATAACAGGACTAATGTTTCTCTTTCTGAAGAATAGGCCTTTCCCTATAACAAACTGTTTTATGTATTCATAAATATATTTTATGTCTGCTTTATGTTTTCATAAATGTGTTTTGTATTACTGTGTTGCCCAAAATTTTTGCCTTTAAAGGCATTTTTACACCAGAATCAATTCCTATTTATTTTTAATATAGAAAAAAGTATTTGAATAACATGTCAGTCATTTCTTCACAGAAATCATACACAAATGTTGGCTTTCTTATACAAAATAACTTTGTTTACAAAACTTTTATTACTGAACAAATGATCACATATGCCTATTCATACAAATAAATGGTTTTACAAAGGAATTTTTTTGAAATACAAACAATGCAGTTAAAATTGCTCATTGAACATGAGTAGTCAGTTTACGAAAGAACTGTAAAGGGCCAATAAACTTTAGATAGATACTCCACATCACTAGGAAACAGTGAAAATGCAAATATAACATGGGAAACATGGTCAGGTTGTATGTGTCATGAGGGCAGTAACTGTGGCTGCAGTAGTGCCACTGAACTGCCACCACCTGTCGCTGGTGTCAGTAAACTCCAGCTGTAGGAGTCAGTACTCTCAGGCTATGAGACTGGTAAAGGTTAAAGGTTAAAGACTGACAGAGCCTGGCATTCGCAGCACAGGGAGGAATTAGACCCTCGTGTTCTGGTAGTGATCCAGTCAACCGTGAAACAGCTTTGAAGGGCTGTTTGGTATTCTGTGACCAAAAAGTATAGAACCATCATCCATAATCATAAAAAGTAGATAAATCAGTCATTGAAACCAAACCAGAACCAGCAAAGACTGAAGCAGATGTTAGAATTAACAAAGAGATGATGATAATCGATAGCCATGTGCCATATGTTCAGTGTTTAAATAAAAGCATAGGAAGCATTAGAAAGGGCCTGAATCAAACTCCTAGAAACGAGGAAAATGTGTGGGGCGAAAACACACCTGTTAGTGTTGGTAACACATCAAACAATACAGAAAAGAAAAAGGAGCAGACAGATAAAGCAGAGGGACCAGCCAAAAGAAAATGCAGAAAGAAAAAAAAAAACAATTTTAAAGCAGGGGTCACCATGATCTGTGTGATAACTTCAAGCAGCATTATACACCAGTCACTAGAATCTCAGAAGGAAAAATCAAAAAGGGTCGGAAAAATGTTTGCAGAAGTCACGGCTGAAATGTGTCCAGATTTGATGGAAATAGCCCACAGGTCCAAGGAGCCTAGCAAAGCAGGGCTTAACAGGCAGGAAGGAAACAGCCCAAGGGATGTGACCGTCATATTTCTCAAGCAAGAAGGAAGACACAAATCTTATTAACAGCCACAAAAAGAACAAAGATAAGGATGACAGCAGATGCCTTGTTACCGAATTCACTGGGAGAATTCAGTAAAATGACTCCCTTAAAGAACAGAAGGAAAGGCCCTCCAGTGAGAGTTCTGAAGCCAACTCTGTATCCAGCAGAAACGCCTTTGGAAAACAAAAGCAAAGTCAGGAAACTAGCAGACACAGAAGCAGGGAGGACTCACCACCAGCAAAGCTGTACTTCAAAAGCCATGGCCCTAATGCCCCTGGGCAGGGGGTTGACAGCTAGGGATGGGGGTTCACCCGAGGGACGGCAGAGAGTTAGAAACAGCGGCCACATGAGGCATCATGCAGTAAGATGGGGTAAGATGGAAGCTTTTTAACATTTAAGTGTCTTTAAAGGGAGGTTGACAGTTTAAGCAAAAATCCAATACTGTGGGATCTAGCCTGCAGAAGTAAGATCAGGACAGCATTCATGCACTGGTGGGGAGGGACAAAATACAAGTATTCTGCCTGTGAAATACTTCAACATTACTCAAAGTTAGACTTCAACATTACTCAAAGTTAGACTCTGATACATTAAAGATAGGTGTGTGTGTGTGTGTGTGTGTGTGTGTGTGTACACGTGTGTGTGCATGCTTGCGAATGCTCTTACATGTGTGCATCTGTGGAGATAAGAGGACAACCTCAGGAGGTTTCCTTAGGTCCTCTCCCCCCCCCCCCCCCCCCATTTTTTGAGACGTGCTCAGTCACTAGCCTGGGGCTTGGTAAGCAACCTGGCTACCCTGGCTGGCTAATAAGTTCAAGGGTTTTACCTGACTTTGCCACTATAGCACTAGAGTATGAGTCCACATAAAACCATACCCGGTTTTTTTGTTTGTCTGTTTTGTTTTGTTTTGCATGAGGTCTGAGGATTAAACTCAGGTCCTCATGCTAGAAGACAAACGCTTTGTAGATTGAGCTATTGTCCGTGCCCTAAGCCCCAAAAGATCAGAGCAGATGGCTATGGTTAATAGGTATACAAAGGAAATAATATAGTACCCAGATATACTTAGTCAATTCAGAAGATTAAAGAGGAGACAGAAAAAGGTGGGACCAACAGAAAACAAAATGAGGCCTCAAAAGCTAATGATACCAATAATCACTTTACATACAGACTAGTGACACCTAATAATTTTCAGATTATCATCTAGTAAAAGAAGCAAGTCTCAGCTATCTCCAGCCACCCTGCCCCCTCCTCTGCAGGGAGATGTGTTCCAACACCACCAGTGGATGCCTAACCCTGAAGATCGCATCAAATGTGGCCTACTGCGTTTCTTCCTACACACCCTTCTCTATAGTAAAGTCGGATTTATGTATTAGGCAAAGGAGAATATTAACAGCAGGAGCTAATAAAATGGAATGACTGTGTAATAGTATACTATAATAAAAGTTATTTAAGACATGTGAGCTATTTCTGGAGACTTCCATTTAATATTTTCAGAGAGTAGTTGACCATAGGTAACTGAAATGGTAGAAAGTAAAACTGCAAATAAGAAAGAACTGTGATAAAAACCACACTTTATATGTAAAAATATAGATATATTAAGGGGAAAGGAATTGAAAATTATCCCACATGAACACTAATTAAAGAAAAGCTAGAGTTAATATAATATCAGAGGACAGAAATTTCAGAGAAAAGAATATTACCAGGGATAAGATAGTTTTTCCATAATTGCAAACTTAACCCCAGTTCCAAAATACAGAGACCCACAGCCAGACAATATAGAGGGAGGGAGGGAGAAAGGCAGAGAGGAAGGAAGGGAGAGAGAGAGAGAGAGAGAGAGAGAGAGAGAGAGAGAGAGAGAGAGAGAGAGAGAGAGAGAGAGAGAGAGAGAATGAATGAATCTTGTAATGCTTAGCCCTAAATGGTTGTCTTTATCAAATTTCTTTCCTTGTTGCTCAGGGAATCCTGCAGAAGAAGAGATGGGAAAGAGTGTAAGAGCCAGAAGGGGTGGAGGACACAAATCAATGTGAACACACATGAACTCACAGAGAATGAGGCAGCATGCACAGAGCCCCCACAGATGTGCACCAGATAGGGTCCTAGAGCTGAAAGAAGTAGACATATTTCCCCATCCCTAACCCAGAAGCCATCTCCAACCGGTAAACACTTGCAAATGAAAATTTAGTTTTCTCTAAGGAAGTCTCACTGGGAAACAAACTACTCTAAAGGGTAGGCTGCGTGCCCAGCTGTAGACGGCCCACAGAAAATAAACTCAGCAGCATCTTTGGAGGGTCTTTGTCTCATAATGTCATATCAGGGCTTCTTATTCTCATTTTTTAAAATTGTAGTGTATGGGGTGTGTGTGTGGGGAGTAGTTCAAATGAAAATGGACCCAGGGGCTCACAGGGACTGGCACTATTGAGAAGTGCGGCCTTGCCTTGTTGGAGTAGGTGTGACATTGTTGGAAGACATGTGTTCACTGAGGGCAGTCTTTGAGGTCTCAGAAGCTCAAGCCAGGCCTAGTGTCTCTCATTCTCTTCCTGCTGATTGAGATGTAGAACTCTCAGTTCCTCCTCCAGTACCATGTCTGTCTGCACGAAGCCATGCTTCCCACCATGACAATAATGGACTAAACCTCTGAAACTGTAAGCCAGCCCCAATTAAATGTTTTCCTTTATAAGAGATACTGGAACCATGGTGTCTCTTCACAGCAATAGAAACTCTAAGACTACACAAACATACATACACACACACACATATACACACACACCACTCGTTTTTTTTTTTTACTCTACAGGTCCTTTGCATATATATTATTGTATTTCTTGTTTAGCAGTAACAATATATTCTAAATAGACATTTAAAGCTATACCATTTACAATTGTATAAAAAACACTTGGGACTTCCAAAGTGTAAAAAAACTGTACAATAAATAAGACATTGATGAAAGAAATTAAAGACCTTCTCATTAAAATGGAGAAAACTGAGGATGGAGAGATAGCTCAGAGGTTAAGAGCACTGGCTAGTCTTCCAGAGGTTCTGAGTTTAATTCCCAGCAACCACATGGTGGCTCACAACTATCTATAAGGAGATCCCATACCCTCTTCTGAAATGCATATGCATAATAAATAAATAAATCTTAAAATGGAGAAAACTTTGTCTATGGGTTGGAAGACTCAAAATGTTAAGAATTTATTTTTTGTAGGCTTTATTAATAAGTTTTATTATATATTCACTGCTCATGGTACTGGGTTTTATAAGGTCATTTTAATACAAAGTATATAAT